ATCTTAGCTTTTGTAAAATTACCGAAATAACTATCGAAGAAATTGCTAGATCATGCCTTAATTTAAAATATCTTAATCTGAGAAGGTGTTATATAATTAGTAAAGAAGCTATAGATCAGGTCGTTTCAGTTAATCCCAATATCAATATCGTGAATATCGTGGATACTATAATGCCTCCTGATCTGATTGGAGTGGTTAGAAATCATCTTACACAGAACAACGTTGCTAGTAGACAGATTTTAGCTCAGAGCCTTTAGAGCCTTTTAGATCTAAGTATGCGAGATAATTTGCAGTGGTATTCTGATCCAGGGTTGGCTAGATCAATAGTCCAGAGTGATGATCATTAGCTCAAAAGATTTTTTGTTGGGCCACAGATTGTGGATTACTAGCCTTATTTTTCCGATTGAAAAAAATCTTCTAATCATATAAAATGCATACAGCTAATTTGCTTGATCAGATTACACCAGAATTAATACCATTTATTCTAAAGAATTTATCGATACAGGGTCTCTATAATTGTAATAGCATAAATGATAAATGGAAAAAAGAAGTCAGTCTCGAACTATTTAAAAGACCCGAAAGAGAACAACTTCTATATCGAGATCTCATATTCCATAAGCTGTATTACCAGCCCGAAGGTTATTATCAGACCGCTGAAAAAATGCGAGATGCTTGAAAGAAGATCAGATATAAGTTTACTCTTGCAGAGATCAAAGATTGGTTAAACAAACAGGCCATATATCAGATACACAAGCCTCCGCTCGAAGTTTGTTTGTCCACCCCAATTTAGGCCGATTCGGAGCAGTGATCATCATCTCGGAAGATATTTGCTGGGCCACTCCTGTGCGACAGAAAAATAAGTGGATCATCAGTCAGGTCTTGTGCGACATATTAATTTCGCATATATATATATTCATTCGCTAACCAGTACCTCTATTTTTTCCCCGAATAAATGTGAGAAAAATGTGAAAGGAGGTCTAGTTGCAACACAGGACCTTCCCTATAAGTTAATAGTGACGGCAAAAGCATATGTTATGAAAGGCTGGTGGACTCACAATTCCGAGATCGCTAGGCGTAAATCCAACTATATGTCTTTCCGGTAGATCTACATGTAAAAAGGTATGAAGATTCCGTTTACATGTGTTTTCAAGTGACTCTTGACGTCAGATGAAAATACTAATCACTTTTCTTATCTCCTTTTTTCAGCGGAATATAAAGCATGTAGTGGTATATGAAAGTTCCCATTCACCAACTTTCCGCAAAATTTATAAGATGCGTATATGTCAGAAGTTATGTATGTATGGGAATGAAAATTTCTCACTATAGGACGTTGTATTTAGGAAAAACAAGATGTCTTCCTGGGCCAAAACGATAAAACTATGGGAAACTGAAAGACTTATCAGCTTTTTGAGGGGTGATTCAAAATTAGAAGGCTTAGAACTTGACGATAACTTTTTTACAAAGCTTTGTAATGAAAATATCACTGGTGATGTATTTCTCAGGCTAACAGGTTGGGATTTAAAGGAATACAGAATGACATTAAGACAGGCATTAAAACTTGAGGACTACATTAAGGAACTGTGCGAGTAATTAAATGTTTCTTATAGCTATATTTTATTGATGAGGTCCTCATTATCCTAATAGTCTTATTTTATAAATCAAGATAACTGAGAAGGAGCTTTAGGAGTTTATCTTGTGAAAAAGATCGGTTCGAAATCAAGTGATCCCCCAACTAGTTAGAAATTTTTTATCTATATTTGTGTCATATAAAGCTATAGGTTTGCAATTTTTTATGTATTAGTTACTCCGGCAATGTTTTTTTTATTTCTTAAATAAAGCATATATTACATTTCGCAAATCGATCTACAATGAACTTCTAACCCATGATGTGGCACAGTAAATTTTCCCTTTTCTTGGCAAATTTCATATAGATCTTTTTTAAATGAATATGACCAGGAGGAAGAAAAAAAAACATTTATTTTGCGTAATATGTCTCTTGCTATACTATTATCAAATCAATAAAACAATATTCGGGTATGGATATTTTTCTGGCGATCATCATGCATATGTTAATCCTTCATCATTTTTATTGATTAGCAAGGTAATAATGAATGACAAAATGCAGTGCATAATTGCTAACGAGAATCCAGCAATATCTTTCTCCTGTACATATACCAGTGCTATATAAAACTGGCTAGTTGACGATGAGAGTTAAATCAACTGAATATGTTGGGCTTAGAATCAATCAAAGATCCTTCTTACCAAGTACCAGAGAGACTCCACTCATCTCTTACCATCTATAGAAACCTTGCCTATAATATCTTGAAGTATCTCGAGGATGAAATGGTTAAGGATAAAGAAATTCCGGAACTAGAGCCGTGTTCCGAATATACAAATAATATTCTGGGACTTCCTCTCAAAGCACTTATAATACTGTTATGTGGGCATCCGTTTCATAGAGTGTATATTGAAAAGAAGCTCATGATTATTCCAGAGCAGCCAGACGTGTGTCCATTCCCTGATTGTGGGATGAAAGTTGATATCATATATCCAGTCTCTACCTCTGCTAGGAGAGGTTCACAATCATCCCAATCAAGTGGAACTTCGGCCTTATCTAATTTGATGGGCGAAAAGTTTAACCTATTTTTATCAATACCAGAAGATCCGATGGAGGAAGTCGAGAATACCTGCCCAGCCAAAGATAGCAGTAAGAAACGAACTAATACATCCACCGAAGAGTTAACTAGTAAGAAAAAGAAGACATCTGATAAGGAAGGCGATTCCGCTATGTTGAAAAAGCTTGTTAAGGAGCTAAAGGATAATAGTAACAATCAAGAATTGTCATTTCCCACCCAGTCACCCGAAGATAGTTATACTCATCTCTATAAAGAAATCGTTAAAGCCGAAACTCAAAATAATTCTGCTAGTCAAAGGGTTTTACTTTGTTACTTCTAATTTGGAAAGAAGATATACGAGCGCCTGGACTATTATAAAAATGAAAAAAAGTATCGTGATCGCATGGTCCAGAGTAAGGTAGATAAAGAAATTAAGGAGCAGTTGCTTAAGGGGGTTACTGATACTACTCGCTGGAAGCAAACAGAGAGAGCTCGAAAGATATATGAGCTATTTCTTGAAATTGGTGTTGATAAGATACAACGAGTTAAATCATATTCGGCACCAACAATTTCGAAGTTAAGTTGGGAAAAAATTGATTATATCATAAATAGCTTTAGAGAATAGTAAGACTATTACTGCGCCACATGATCACGTGACTTGCTGACCTCGTGGTTAGTAGGTTCATTTTATTTTTGTATACCATCTAAAATAATAAAGTTCACCTATATCAGGCCTTTCTCATTTCTTTATTCATGTGTATTCTGTAAATGCTGTATGAGTACTTATCAAATAAAATGATACATACAATTATGAGGGATCTGCAAACTAATCTACATGCGTATGAATATAAAATTACCCTTTTTTTCTTTACTATTCGCTCAGAAATTTCGTTTACCTTGGGTAAGGAAAAATCATGTGACTGAAATTTCTGAGACCAGCCGATCATCTCGTGATTGAATTGCGGAAAGGTTGCGAGGAAGTGCTGGGAACTGACTGGGAGTCAGGCTAATCCCTGTTAATCACGAGAGATCTACACAGCTTGTATTAGATCATCTTATACTCCGAATTTTTTAGCGATTATCTCATGATTTCAGTGACTAAGAAGTATCCGAGAACTGTTGTAGAACTGGCAAGGAGCCAGAGTGATTCCTGTGATATGATATATGTCATATATCTGAGAATAATTTAGCTATTATATTATCTTAGAACTAATTTAACCGAATTATGACATATCGGGAAAACCTCAGAGATTCACACTGATCTACATGCATGTGAATATGCACATAGCCAGATATGGACCTTATATAAACCCTCGATATGCTTGTAATCGAATAAAAAATGAATCTGGTATTTTATTATAATATACTTGATACAAACTACTATAACGCTAAATACTCGCTAAAACACTATAAATCTCTTAATCGCTAAAATCGTTAAATATGGTATATTCTGATCCCTATAAACATTTAAGTCAAACTGA